GCCGCGGGAGGGTGGGGGGGTTGGGGGGGGGGGAGGTCCGGATCTGCTTGGAAGGAGTCATTCAGCTCTGACAACATCTTCTTCTCCCAGCAAGTCCTGGACAGGCCCCCTAAGTGGGCATGAGGATGGTCCCAAGCTACGCAGCATCCTCAGTCCATGGCCAGAGCTCAGCTGCCAGAGATTCCCCCGCGTCCCCTCCCGCTCCGACTGCCCCTTTCTGGAGAGCCACCCTGGGGTCCTGGAGAGAGCCAGCCCCATCCACCAGAGGGCAGCAGCACCTCACACCTGAGCCCCAGGGGGAATGATGGGGGGGCGCGAGGGGGGGCAGACTGGAGCCTTTCCTGACTTTCAGAGGCTGGATTGGTGGGAAGCGGGCACAGGGGGGCGCAACACGTCCAGAGCAGCTCTGCCAGAGCCAGATTAAGGTCTTCGGAGGCCCCAGGCACCCTCATCATCATAGGCCTGTAAATTAGATGATATGCAAATAATAAGGGAGAAATGCCCCGTGGCCCATACGCCCAATAGTTACTGGCATGTTGCTTATGGTCTAAAGGCAGCAAACTGGCAGGTCTGATTTAGCAGTTTTCTCACTTGTCCAGAGCAGCTCTGCCAGAGCCAGATTAAGGTCTTCGGAGGCCCCAGGCACCCTCATCATCATAGGCCTGTAAATTAGATGATATGCAAATAATAAGGGAGAAATGCCCCGTGGCCCATACGCCCAATAGTTACTGGCATGTTGCTTATGGTCTAAAGGCAGCAAACTGGCAGGTCTGATTTAGCAGTTTTCTCACTTTGAGTCAATTTTGACATTTTTTTAGGCCCTCGGCTTTCTCGTAGGCCCCAGGCCTGTGTCTGTTGTGCCTGATGGATAATCCAGCCCTGGCTGGCCCCATGCCAGAGCTGCACCTGGCTGCCCCAGCCCCTGGCGGCCGGCCGAGACCCCTCAGCCTTGGCTGGAGCTGAGCCCTGCCAGTGTCAGGCCGGGGGTTGGGCTGGCGTGGGAACGGGAAGTGTGGGCACAGCCACATCCTGAGTCAGGGAGGGGGTTAGCCTTCCTTAGCCTACGGTCTGAGGCACCCCGGGCCCGGGGCTGCTGGGAAGGGTAGAGCCAGGGAGACACAAAAGGAGAGCTACTCGGACAAGGGGGTGAGAAGGCGGGTGAGTCGCAGGCCTTGCATTCTGCTGCTCTGATGGCTGCTGCCACCATGGACGCTGGAAAAAACAACCCTGTTAACGGCTGATCCGTGCGTGGACCCTGCTTCCTCGTCACCTTCTCTGAGACACGAGCACCTCTGGGCAGGGGTGGCTTCTCTTCCACTCTGTCACAACGTGACAAAGGTTTCAGTGCATTCAAGGGCCTGGTGACTAACCACAAGAAATCCCAGCAGCGGCCCCGCGAGGCCGATCCCCTTGTCTCAGCACCACCGTGGGCTCGGCGGCCGAGCAGAGGAGGGTTAGAGGGTGGCGGAGCGTCCATCTCAGTGCGGTTTGGTTGACACTGTGTCAGTGTAGATGCTGCATTGCTCATGTTGGCTGTTGCTAGCCATCAGGCGCTGTCCCACA